TTCGCGTTTACGTTTGAGTTAACACTCATGGATGAGGTCGAATTGGAAGCCATGTTAATCTTGGACTACATTGGCCACCGTAGGATTTAAAATGAAATCGGAATTGAGAGGAACAGAAGCTAATATTCACTGGATGGTCATATACCTTTTCACCACTAGATGGAGTAAAAATCACACAGTGTAGCTTTAAAGAAGACATTTGGCCGATTTTTGTCGAAGTGAAATAAATTAAGAAAGTGAAACAGAAAAACGTTGTAGAAGTTTGAGTTTATGGAGACGTACAATGTAAAAAAAAATAAAAAATTATTCATATTTTATATAAATATATATTTTCAAAACCTGGGCTACTCTAAAACTGCAGAGAAATCGCAGAAGCCAAAAATCTGAACAAGGTGTGTTTAAAATGTAAAATTTTAGGTTGATATCTTAAAAAATTTGTTTGGGCGCAGTACCGAACGCTTCCACTAGGGCACAACCAGACTCCATCACATATAAGGGCGGCTCCATTTCCGTATGTGTTTTGAGTGATCTGAACCATCATTTACACAATTTTCAAACAATTTATGAAGTAGAGATCCTATTCAGAAGTAGTATGGGAAGTTTTTGATATGAATTCAACCTCTAAGAAACAAAGAACGTGCATGCGCGTTATATCTTCCTGCCACATCACAAATGGTGAATTTATTATTTTATTCTTAATATTTAAAACGTTTTCAGACCTTTTATTCTAAAATAATTGAATGGATGCTTTCTTTTGATCTCTTGGTATGAAAACAAACTGAGGTTTCTACCTTTATTCCTGATTTTTCATGTTTTCTATTTCAAAATAAAAGTCTGAACACGCTTTAGGAGTATGAAAATATTCTTGTTGCAAATTGATAAATTACAGCTTCGGTGTAATTTATTTTGAAAATCAGCCACCAAATATTGAAACTTGAGATTGTAAGATTTATAGTTTGTCAATATTACGTAAGGTCTTTTCTAAGATATTATTGTTTTAAAAATATAACGGCAAACGTCCCACCTGTGGGACGTGACAGTTAAGGGGTTAATGAGAGCACAGTGATTCATTTAATTTAATTGGGTCCAAAAGAGATCAAAAATATATAGATGATATAATAAATAGAACTGTATCTGTTATACAAGTGCATGTTGTTCACTCAATAATTGTTTTACCCTGTTGTTCACCCAAAAAGCAGTGTGAACGAAGACTTTGTTAATGAGAGTACAATGATATAAAGTTGAATTGGTGCCCAGAAGAGGTTATAATCATCTTGTTAATGATGTCCGAAATAGGCTGAAATCACCTTAATACGTTTTTAGCGAAATATTAGTTTTACCCGTTCACCCTCTGCACCCTGTTCACCCAATAAGTACTGTGAGTCTAGAGCAAGATTTCTTATCGCCTTGAAAGGGTTGTGCATCCAGATTTCCACAAAACTCTCGTCGACTCATTTTTCTCTCAAGCATCCACGTCTCAGAGCTGTCCAGGGGTGTCAACTAGACCAGAGAAATGACCGTTGTGTCGGTCACCTTTAAATGTCAACACGTTTTCTCATTCTGTTCTTACATGGCTGGAAAAGGCAGTGGACAGCAGACCTTCTCTCTTCCCTACGTATTAACGAGAATAATGGCAAGTTTGGTGAATTATGGCGGTGTGGTATTTTGGGCCGCTACAGAGTTATTGAGCTATTCTATCTTTCGGTAATCAGCGTGGAGCTGGACATTTCTCCCTAATGAGATAATATCCGATACAAATTACTACTGTGCTACCTCTCGCTGTCTCCGCTGCTTAAGTAATCCATATCTTTTTCATTTATTCTTGTTGTTTTGCATAGGTAATGTTTTTTTTTTTTTTTTTTTTTTGGTCAAGATAGCCCACAAGTACAACGCTAACTGCCCCTGCCCCCAACATGCTTATTAGAAGGTGTCTGCAAATCCCGACCCTTATCCTGAGGCTATTCCCACCGTTCTCGCAGACACCGTCAGGGGGAAAGCAGAATAAACGCGGCTGTCACATTTCCTCCGCAGGCTAACGGCATCTTGGGCTACAATTAGCCAGCAGTGCCAGTCCTCCCCCCCTCTGGTCTTTTGTTATGCAAATGAGACGCATGTAATGCGGCGTTTAGCTGGAATTTTTGCCGATTTTCTCTTTCACTGAAAGGAGCCGCTTGGTGAATGGGGAGTTTTACTTTAACTTGACTGGCTTTGTGCAACTGTCAGTTGGACTTTTATTCCTTTTTTTACACACGAAAACGGCGGTACTTGTTGTCACAGTCAGTCACCATCATGTCAAGATTATGATTGTTTGTTAATTTGTTGTTTTGTCTGGAAGCATGTTGGGTTTGAATTGTCTTCCTAGACTGCGGTGAGCAGCAAGCATAGTGAGCTACCTACCTTGATGACATTCTGAGCATCAAACATTTTGAGCATTAAATAAGAAAGCCAAGGCGGCCTTTTTGCTGGCATGCTTTGTCAAATCCCTACCTAGACAGCATTTTTAAAACTCAAACCTAGTGAGCTGCCAAGCTAGATAACATTTCTGGCATTGAACTTTGTAAGCTTCCTATCTAGGCAGATTTTAAGTGAACTGCCTTAGTTGACTAAAATTTAAGCCTAGTTATCCTAGTTACATTTTGGGGGGTAAAACCTCCTGACCTCCCCATCTAGACAGCATTTTTGAGTGTCAACCCATTTAAATTGCCTAGTTAGCTCCCTTTCTAGACAGCATTTTTGGCCATCAAAACTAGTGAGTCCCCTACATAAATGGCTTTTATGGGCATTTTACGTAGTTATCTCCCTATCTAGACAGCATTTTTGGAGATCAAACCTTGTGAGTCCCCTACATAAATGGCATTTATGGGCATTTTGCCTAGTTATCTCCCTATTTAGACAGCATTTTTGGGGATCAAACCTAGTGAGCTCCTATTCTAGACAGCATTTTTGGGGATCAAACCTAGTGAGTCCCCTGCATAAATGGTATGGGCATTTTACCTAGTTATCTCCCTATCTAGACAGCATTTTTGGGGATCAAACCTAGTGAGCTCCCAATCTAGACAGCATTTTTGGGGATCAAACTTAGTGAACTCCCAATCTAGACAGCATTTTTGGCCACCCAAGATAGTGAGTCCCTACATAAATGGAATTTATGGTCATTTTACCTAGTTATCTCCCTATCTAGACAGCATTTTTGTGGATCAAACCTAGTGAGCTCCCATTCTAGACAGCATTTTTGGGGATCAAACCTAGTGAGCTCCCTATAAAGACAGCATTTTTTGGGATCAAACCTAGCGAGCTCCCAATCTAGACAGCCTTTTTGGGGATCAAACCTAATGAGCTCCCAAATGTAGACAGCATTTTTGGTCATCAAAGCTAATGAGTCCCCTACATAAATGGCATTTATGGGCATTTTACCTACGTATCTCCCTACTAGAGAGCCTTTTTGGGCATCAAACCTAGTGAGCTCCCATTCTAGACAGCATTTTTGGGGATCAATCCTAGTGAGCTCCCTATCTAGACAGCATTTTGGGCCATCAAGGCTAATGAGTCCCCTACATAAATGGCATTTATGGGCATTTTACCTAGTTATCTCCCTACTAGATGGCCTTTTTGGGGATCAAACCTAGTGAGCTCCCATTCTAGACAGCATTTTTAGGGATCAAACCTAGTGAGCTCCCCAATCTAGACAGCATTTTTGGCCCTCAAAGCTAATGAGTCCCCTACATAAATGGCATTTATGGGCATTTTACCTAGTTATCTCCCAATCTAGAAAGCATTTTTGGGGATAAAACCTAGTGAGCTCCCTATCTAGACAGTATTTTTGGCCATCAAAGATAGTGAGTCCCCTATGTAAATGGCATTTATTGGCATTTTACCTACTTATCTCCCTACTAGACAGCCTTTTTGGGGATCAAACCTAGTGAGCTCCCAATCTAGACAGCATTTTTAGGGATCAAACCTAGTGAGCTCCCCAATCTAGACAGCATTTTTGGCCCTCAAAGCTAATGAGTACCCTACATAAATGGCATTTATGGGCATTTTACCTAGTTATCTCCCAATCTAGACAGCATTTTTGGGCATCAAACCTAGTGAGCTCCCATTCTAGACAGCATTTTTGGGGATCAAACCTAGTGAGGTCCCAATCTAGACAGCATTTTTAGGGATCAAACCTAGTGAGCTCCCAATCTAGACAGCATTTTTGGCCCTCAAAGCTAATGAGTCCCCTACATAAATGGCATTTATGGACATTTTATCTAGTTATCTCCCTATCTAGACAGCATTTTTAGACATCAAACCTAGCGTGCTCTCTGCCTAGATAGCAATTTTGCTGTCATACCCAATATAAAAACCCCACACCCAATATAAAAACTAAGACCGCATGTTTGGGCATAGACAGCATTTTGTTAGTTTGGCTGTAGTTAACCTTTCGTTCATATTCAAAGCCATTTTTGTTCCTGCCCTTTGTTTTTGGGGCGACTTTTAACAGTAACGCGTAAATCATTTTCCGTGACCCACTTTTCTCCATGACCTCACGTCCCTGCGTCAGTCAGCAATGAAAAGGGCGCTTGCTTGCTTGCTAAACCGGGGCGTCTACCTAACCACCAGGTATTCTTTTTTCCTGCATAAATGTGGAGATTTGAGGCACAAGGGGACATCACTTTAAGTAGGGCGTGTGTGCGACTGCGGCACTGAGTTCGATGAGTGAGTAGCTTGCATGCACCCTTTGCAACCGAATAAGGTGGATTTGCAGTGCTGGCGTGCTCCTACCCTGACAGACTGTCCCACAGTGGCACTTCGCCACAGTTGGTCGTGTGTGTGTGTTGCCGTCTGCCTCTCTCTCCGGTCCACAGGGGCTATCTGATTGGCTCTCGAGGGTGGAGCCCTGCTTAGCGCTGACATACTGCACCCAGCCCTCAGGGCGTTCTGATTGGCCAGGGGAGGGGTGACATCACAAAGGCCAGCTGTTGATTTGGCGGAGAGTGTGTGTGAGAGAGAGAGAGAGAGGAGAATCAGGAAGGATTGCGGCAGCGATGGCTTTGGGCAGGTACGCGAACGCTCCACGCTCAGACGGAGGAGAGCAGAGCTTCACTGAGCGCGCTCCGTTTGATGCCACTCGGTCTGCTATGGAAACTAATGATGTGAGTCGTGCAGCGGATCATGAACGACAGGCAGGTGTGTGTGTGTGAAGTTGATTTACATGCTGGTGTTTTGTTTTTGTTTTGAGCGTAAAAATAAAGATGAAAGTAGTAAAAAAAAAAACTTTAGAAATTTTCTACGTTTATTTTTTTACAATGAAACACTTGAAACGGAAAAAATTGTAACATTTGAGTTTGGGCTTCAAATAAATATTTGCAAAAGTGATAAAATCATCTAAATGACTTTTTAGTGCTAATTCCATAATTCTAAACCTTGGTTAAATTCATTGTGACTAAATTTGCATGTCAGCAAATTGCAGTCTTTGCTCATATGTGTGTGTGTGTGTGTGTGTGTGCGCACGCGCACTTTGTAATGACATTCTTGTAATTGCTCTATTTTCTAATTTAAAAAAGCGCCCGAGGCGGCTATCAGCAGAAAGCTGGGTGTTTGTGTCGGTGTAAATTACAGCCGAAGGCAGCCCGTATAACATCGTTAATGTGGCAAATCGTGTAAATGAACTGATGAGGAGAGGAGAGGAGAGGAGAAGAATAGCTCGACTGTGACAGCGGCCACACACTGAGAACACGGATTGTGACGGGAGGAGGAAAAAAGAGGGAAAACCATTAGCAACGCTTTTATCCAGAAATACGGGCCATTTGCATATTAGTCTAAAACAGGGGTGAAGTGAAATATGTGTAGCCTGGAGCCCGGCACGGCGGTGGTGCGCTTCTTTTGTCGGGAGGGTAAGTGCTCGTTGCTTCCTGAAATATGGTGATTAATAATTGATAATGGGAAATTACGGATGGGCTTTATTGTCTCGGACAACAAGGCTGAAGCGAGATGATGTTGTGGAAAGTTGTGGTTGTCTTTATTTATTTTACTTTGCATGTGTTAGTCTGTTTTTTTTTGTGTCTTTGTTTGTTGAGACAAACTGATGTTTTAGTTTCGTCTGTATGTCTGTCCCAGATTTAGCGACATTATGACGGTCTCAAAACCCAGTAAACTACCTTGGAAGCATTTTCGACCATCGTACGTACTTTGCTTATGCCAACAAAGCTTAGTGCAGTTGCTTCTTAGACAGCATTTTTGGGCATAAAACCTTGCCGGATGCGTCTTTTAGGTATCATACTGCATTTTCGGGCATCAAAAGCTTATTAACTGTTTGTCTTGGCATCATACTTTAGCTTGAGCATAATATTTGTCTGTGAAATGCATAAATGTAAATTTAAACCCTTATTATACGCCTACCCATTGCCATCAAATCTAGTGAGGCGTTATACCAATTGAGCCACCTACCAAGACGGCATTTTCAGGCATCAAAAGCTTATTAACTGTTTGCCTAGACAGCAATTGCGTGCATCATACTTAGTGCACTGCCTTCCTACACAGCATCATTTTCCTTGTGAGCCGCCTTTCTAGATGCATTTAGAGCGTTATACCCTTTGTGCTGCCTAAGTAGCAGTTTTTTTCATCTGCTAATGCACAAATGTGAATGTAAAACCTTGTTATACACCTACTCAGACTGCATTTTTGACCATTAAGTCTAGTGAGCTGGATGCATTTTAGGTCGTTATACCTATTGAGTCGCCTACCTAGACTAGGCATTTGATGCTTGCAAATGCAGACAGAAATTGTGGGCATCATACTTAGTGCGCTACCTTCCTACAGTAGACAGCAGTTTTGGGCATTGTATATACATGTTTTGGCATCAAACCAAGTTAGCGAGCTGTCTACCTAGATGGCCTTACTTACCTTGACGACTATTGTTGTGCAGTACCTTTCTAGACAGCCATTTTGGTAATTGTACCCCTACTAAATGGCGATTCGGGGCATGAGACCTAGTTAGCCACCTTCCTAGAAATCCTTGAGCGGTTTTATATTGAAAATTATTTAAAGTGCCTATCTAGACTGCAGTAGTTGAGTATTTTACCTTTTGAGACTTTGACTGTTTTTGAGGGGGCGTTTTAGTGTGAGCTTTTATGGGCAATCTCGGATATAATATCCAGTACACTACCCATCTAGACAACATTTTTAGTCATCATTTAGCAAAGATAGCTTTTTTGGGGGGCAACATTCATTATTTTCGAGCATCAATCGACTGGAAACACAATAATTATACCCCAAAATGCTGTCTAGGTAGTCAGTTTTTGAGAGACAGCCGGTGTGTTTGTGTGTTTCTGCGGCTCTCTCTTTTTTTTTTAATCCTCCAGCGTCAAACTCGGACATCTGTACTGTCAAGTTTGTGAAAAATATGCAGCCGCCGATATCCGCGGGGAGTCTTTTCTCTCTAGTGATGCTCGGAAGAACTTATTGAATATGGAGCGAAAACTGTTGTGCTTGCTGGAGGGGAGGGTAGTTGCGGTGAAGGGCGTATTTTGAAATGCAGATTCGGATTTTTCCCTTCACCTCCACATAAACGCTTTGTTCAGAGGAAAAGATACGGTAGCGCTGAGATTAGCCTGCAGCGAGAGAGATGCTTGGATATTTATGAACAGTGCTCGTGTAATTCCTGCCAACAGTAGGTGTTTCAATCCATGTGTGGGAGGAAAAGCGCTCTCATAAGTCATAATTGTCCTTGAAAGCGTCAGTTGGTGCCGCTCTTTGTCCCTGTGCCCCAGATTGGTCCGTTCTGAGCCCAAAGAAGATCAAGAGACACATTATCCACTCCTACTTCCTGCGGTGATGTGGGATAATGCCAGTGACCTGAGCGCAAACACTCACGAAAAAGTCATGGCACGGTCTCGGATAATTCCGAGGGACCGTCTGGCTGTTGTCTTGAGTGTGGTCAAACCCACCTGTTCTTGTCATTACCACCTGCGCCACTGTCAAATCACGCGTGATGCTAATCGCTTGAATTTTGATTAATGGTTTTGGTAAATTTTAGGCCCAGTTGGTGTACCTTACAGGATTACTGAGGCAGGTTAGGCCCGTTTGACCTCGAGATATATGGTGGGTCACAACTTGGCACAGGTTGCTAGATTGGTGGTGGCAGGATAGGCGAGGGCGGGGGTGTTTTTGGGTCATTAATGCCCTGGCGAACACTGCCACTTATGTTCAGTTCATTCAGACACAATCTTGAATGAATGAATCCTACTGTTGGGAAGGCGTCAAACGTCATTGATTATTATGATATCATTAATATCATTATTAATATTCATTGTTTTCTTGACTTGTCAGAACACAAAGTAATTTGAAAGAACTAGTAGGATTGGTATTTGGTCATCTGTATTGAGTTGGCAACTTGGCACCAGGGTTGTTGTCGAAATAAAGCGGAAATAAAGAAAAAATACTAGGGATCGTTCACCCAAAATACATTTTTGGGTGAACTATCCGGAACTATCTTGTCAGTCAGCAACAGTGTCTGTCAGAGCATTTGACAGGGCGGCAAGCTGCCTTAAACTTGTTAACTATATCAAAGTGATTTTGACGCAATTAATATAAGCTTGTGTCATGTTTAGGACAAATTGTACTACGTAGCCTAGCTACTTTCACTGCAGCAGCTCACACTGCAACCTCCGCTATTTTTCAGATGTGCTCATATCAAACTACTGTATCGATATAAACGGTATTGCCTCATTCCATATCGTTTCAAAAAATATAACGATACATCGTACAAACTCGATATATCGCCCAGCCCTAACTCTAACCTATTAAATATTCATATATTTCTTGACTTATCAACTGTGAGGTTACCTTTCTAGAGTATTATCATAATTAGTGTTGCTTGGATAATAACGATGCTAATCGTTCATCATAGTAGTGCGAAAACGTTTTTTTTTTTTTTTTTTGAGTTGGTACTACTTAAGATTTGTTATAGTTGGATTTGCGATTTCGTGGTGCGTTGAATTAACGATACTAATCATTCATCACAGGATTGCTAATTTTGCTACCTGTATTCTGTCGGTACTACAAATTCTTCATTGTTGGATTCATTGTTTCCAATTACTCCAGTCAAATTAAGTTGGTATTATCGATACTAATTGTGTGTCGTAGTAGGATCCATAATTTCCCCACTTGTTGAGTTTGTAGTACTGATAATTTCGGCAGTCATATTGTTCGTAATAGTAGGATTTCTAATTTCGCAACTCTTGTTGAGTTGATACCAATGGTAATTGTTTGTGATACTAGGATTTGTGATAAATTTGGTTTGTTTTTAAATACGTGGCTATTCGGATTCGCCTTGACAAGTGCTGTACCAAATGTCACTAGTTTTTCTTTTTTGACTAGCGAGATAGAAATTTCTCAGTTCGAATATGAATAATTGAATAATCTCAATTATCTCATCTGTTAATTATAGTGATTTCACTACATTGGAATGTTAAAGATAAAACATCACAAGACCTATCGTGAGCTATATTGACTTTGAGTGAAAAAACAAACAAACAAACAAACTATTTTTAAATTCCAATCAACAGACGATACTTTTAAATTGAGTTTGGAGCCGTATTTATCGGGTTAGTATTCCTTATAGCTGGTTGAAATGCTTAAAATGCGAATAAGGTCCAGCATTAAACGTGACTTCCTCTCAGTGTATTTTAATGTCCCTGTTTCTCTGCGGCACAGTCTGTTCTCCATATTCATGTCACCACCCTGACACTTTTTTAAAAGCGCTGCAGTGCTTCTGCTCCCGAAAGACCTTTTAGACTTTCCATCAAACAACCCACACACGAGTTCAGTTCTCCCTCACGGATGCTACTGTATCCATGCATCCCTGACCTTTGACCTCGCTGTATTTGACCCCCTGACCTCTGTCCTTGTGTGTGTGACAGGTGTCCGAGGGTGATGCGGAGCGTGTGCGTGAGCCGTGGCTTGGCGACCCGACCCAAGCGCTGGTGACGGGGGTCATGGGACTGCTGCTGCCCCCTGTCCGTCTCTCAGTCCGCCCCTCTGCCTCCGGAGGCCCCAGGGTCCTACGCTCCCTAAGGTTCCTGCCCAGTCCTGAAAACAGCACAGCCGGTAAACACCAACATTCGTACTGATGTCGTTTGTGCGAAAAAATTTACGTTTAAACAAAATATAAAAATGTCGACAAAAAAAAAATTTCGACAAGAATTTACGGAACGCCTTATTGTGCGAATGTGCGTACGATCTTGTTTTCATTTGCGTCAAATTAGTTACGGCGGCTAACTACATGAAATTTGACGATTCTCAATAGCGATATCCAAAAACTGTAAAGGAATTAACATTTGCGCAAATTTAACTATACAACTATAATTAAAACGTAGACTTCCAGGAATTTTCCTACATTACTTTTTTCTTGCGTTTCTTTTTCGACTAGCCTGCGCGGATTGTTTTTTAACACAAGCTTTTCGAACAAATTAGATATACAAATTGTTCAAAGTAAAAGGTTTGGAACTGAATATTAATTAGTTTACTTGATTGCTCAATTCCAGTTGTAACAGCTAATTAATATTCATGAGCTAATATTTAGCCATATGTGGCGATTCTGGCGAAATTACGAATCCTACTATGGTAAGGTTTTAATGAATGCCTCGTGCCTATATTAATTTGTTTGTGACTGCGTGTTCCATAAAGCATGACATTAATAAAACTTTTATATATATATATTTTATGTATAAAATATATATTTACATATTTTTATATATAAAAATAAAACATTTTATTAAATAATCCTTTTAGTTAAGTACCGAATTGAGTCCTATGGCAAATACCCAGAAAAAAGTGGTATAACATTGAGCATGATTTAGCCTAAGCTCGCAACCTCAATTTTACTCACATCAAATAAACTATAGGTGCATTTATCTATGAAAAAATTTACTTATGATTTTTTAATTATGTATATTGACATTAGCCTGCAGGCTTAACTGATTGGCCGAAAGGCATATGATGATAATTTGATGCTAGTCAGCTGGCTAATTAACGAACACTACTATGGGAAATGAATATTAATTAGGTTACATGACACATACACATTCAAGGAAGGTTACGAAGCAGCTTCAGACATCATTAATATTCATGATGTGAGCCTTTGGCACTGCAGAATTCGCAAGTTCACCCAACCTGCGTTACTTTTTTTACAAGTTTAACATCAATTTGGTAGCAAAGAACCAGTAATTTTGACATCACAAGTTGAAATCAACATAATTACGCTGTCAACTAAATCACCAGTGTGTCTGTTCATCTCACAGGTGGTGATTTTCGGCCTTGCGTCTGAAGATAATGTCTGAATCTTCTCTGGACACCACAAGTTGTGACGTTATGAAGGTTCTGGAGAGTGACGGGCCGCACATGGCCGAACCGCCTGCGACCCTCAACGACCCCCAACACACGCCCCAGAACAACGGCACACACGCCCAGGAGTGTGTGACAGACCAAAGTTCCTCGCATCAAACTCAGGTAAACTTGTGCATTATGGGTAATGCAATCCAAAGCCAACAGAAAATGATATTGTAGCCTCTTGCTAATGACTTATTATGGGATGTTAACGACCACTGAGTGGTATGCTGTTGCTGTGGTTTCCATTGTCTCTGCTTAAAGACAAAGGTAAGACAACAAGATGAGTAGAATGAGCCAATCGAATCCAAGCTGGCGTGTGATTGGCTAATGCCAGTAAAGAGAGGAAGGACAGTTAATCTGCACCTGAAATCCTGCTGGTTTATCTGCAAACCCTCAGGGTGTGTGAGTGCGCGCGTGTGTGTGTGTGACTTTGCCACCATCTGCTCTTGGTGCAATGAGAAAGGGCAGCGGCCAGGTGCATTGAAACACATGCTGATCTCAGCTCTATTCCTCTCATTGTTCATTTCTCTCTCCTTTCCTGCACAATTAGCTGCTTCACTGGTGCACACACTCCTTTAACGACATATTACCTGCAATAACATGAAGAACTCAACTTTTTGACCTTCTGGATTTGCCATAAATTTCCAGGAGTGGGCGATACATTGAATTTTTTAAATATTTAAAAAAAAAAAAGAAAAGCATTTATTTGATTTAGAAATCTAGAAAACATTATAAATGTCTTTACTGTCACTGTCGATCAATTTAATGCATCCATGCCGAATATTAATAAAATAAAAAAAATAGTGGTGACAATAGTGGTGTAAAAAAAAAATGTTTAAGGTTTTTACATGATTGTAAAGGCAGTTTGGTTGAAATTAGGGTTTACAGAAACTACCTAAATATATATCCTAAAAAATATATATATATATTTTATAATGCATATTTATATTATTATTTTAATTAATGCTTATAGTTCATATATATATATATATATATATATATTTTAAGAATGTCATACGTTAACAAACAATTGTGTATTTTAAATATTTAATAACATGATCCAAATTTCCTCATTTTTTCTTTTTTAACAACAGCTTGGCCAATCAACACAGAGTATTAAACGGTCCAAGGTACGGTATGATCACAGCATGAGTTGGTTCGTTATTTTATTTTATTTTTTATTAGTTGGTTGTTTTTATTGCCTGCACTCTGTGTGCCTTGCGAGAAAAAGAGAGAGAGAGAGAGTTCGGCAGTGCATTGTGGGAATAAAAGCCCCTGCTCGAGTCAGTAAAGAATAATAAATGTGCTTAGGGGGGATGCTGCGTTTAGCACTTTTGCAGCATGAACCAAAATGCCGGGGGTTTGTAAAACCCAAGCGCCTCCTCTGGAGATTTTCCCACCTAGTGTCGAATTCTGCTCTGCTCTTGATGTCGTTTTATATCTGCATTTTGAACAGCCGCTGTTTTTGTGATTTTGTTGAGTTTGTGCTTTAAAAGTGCGTTCTTTTTGGTTGTTTTGACATTGCCTGCAAGAAATTGTCTCTTGTGTTTATTATTATTTCTAAAAAATGAATACATTCGAGATTTTCAGACTTTCAGGGGTTTCAGATGTGTTTATATAAGCATTGGTTTTAATAAACATGCCTCTAATTAACACAGACCCCTCCCAGAGCTCTGAAAAGTCTCCTGAGACGTTGCAAAATGGTGCTTGTGTATTTTTAGTCATGCGTTGTTGGACTTTTTTTTTTGCGAATGAGTGCCAGACGTTTTGGTAACCATAGTTACTCTCCTCCAGTCCAACGGCAAGTTAAAGTTAGTTCGCAGCTTGGCGGTGTGTGAGGAACCATCTCCACCCCCTCTCCGAGAACTGCCACAAGAACAGGTAAACGTGTCTGTGTGTTTGCGTGTGTTCGTAATAGCATACTCTTTACCTTTTAGGTCATGTGACCTAGTTTACTTAATTATTCTCATACTATTTAAAAATAAAAATAGCATGCTGTTCATACTCCAAAGTATTAAGGCCCATAGGGGACGTTGTGATGGTAAAAAAAAAATTATATTTCAATGATTTTGCATTCGCTTACATAACTTTTTTGATAGAAATAATATGAGGTGGGAGGACAAACTACATTTCAGTGCTTTTGCGAGCGATCGCAACGTTTCTTGGGGCAACGCAAAGGTTTTTATGAGAAAATGCAAATGTTTTGCGAGAGCATGAAATTTTTCTTGGGGAAACACAATAGTATTGCAAGAGAATGCAAAGTAAGTCTTTCTGGTAATGCAATAGTTCTGTGAGGAAATGCAAATGTTTTATGAGATAATGCAAAGTTTCATGGGGAACGCGATGGTTTTGTGAGAGAATGCTACATTTCTTAGTCAACACAATAGTTTTGTAAAAGAAGATGCGAAGATTCTCTGGGAACGCATTTGTTTTGCGAGAAAACGCAAAAGTTTCGCATGAGAAGGCAAATTTTTCTCAGGGAAACAATAGTTTTGCGAAAATGCGAAGTTTCTCCGGGAACACAATAGTTTTGCGAGAATGCGAAGTTTTTCTGGGAACACAATAGTTTTGCGAGAGAATGCTAATGTTTTTGCAAGAAAACGCAAACGTTTTGCAAGAGAAGGCACATTTTTTTAAGAAACGCAGTAGTTTTGCGAGAATGCGAAGTTTCTCTGGGAACACAATAGTTTTGCGAGAATGCGAAGTTTTTCCGGGAACACAATAGTTTTGCGAGAATGTGAAGTTTCTCCGGGAACACAATAGTTTTGCGAGAGAATGTTAAAGTTTTTCCGAGAAAGCGCAAACGCTTTGCTAAAAAAGGCACATTTTCGCAAGGAACGCAATAGTTTTAGGAAAATGCGAAGTTTCTCCGGTAATACAATAGTTTTGCGAGAAGGCACATTTTCTCAAGGAACACAATAGTTTTGCGAGAATGCAAAGTTTCTCCAGGAACACAATAGTTTTGCGAGAGAATGCTAATGTCTTTGCGAGAAAATGCAAACGTTTTGCTAGAGAAGGCACATTTTCTCAAGGAACGCAGTAGTTTTGTGAGAATGCGAAGTTTCTCAGTAGGGCTTGATGATTAATCGAAAAATAATCGAAAGCGAAATTCAGAGCCTATAACCAACGTCATTTTACAATTTCGGTTATTTCGGCTTTTAAATCCTATTAATATTCCCGCCCACTGTGTGTTAATGTACTTTCCCCTAAAAACATAATTACCGCGTGTGTAGTCTCGTAACTCCGCCCCGTCCAGTCCGCGACATTGAAGAAACATGAGCCCCTTTTTACACAACGCGTTGGTCCCGGGAAATTTTCAGAGCAAACACCTTCTGTGTGAACGCAAACACGACCCAGGATTGGTGCCAGGTTGGGGACAGAGGAAAATGTACGGTCCCGGAACACGCGCTGTGTGAACAAAAGCCGTAATCAATGCCGTGTTGGAATGATGGCGCTTACGTCGCCTTCACACTGGCACTTGAAATCAGCTCCGTAATACGCAATACGCCCCCAACGGATGTCGTACTACACAGCAAAAATACATACATATTTACAGTATAAGCCTTGCCAGTGTCATATGAGAAAGACATTTAAAAAAAAAAATCGTTCAATAATCGCAATCGGGGTAACTTGTTCGATTAATCGCGATTATGAGTTTAGCCAAAATCGTCCAGCCCTATTTCTCAGGGAATGTAATACTTTGCGAGAGAATGCAAAGTTTCTCAGGAAACACAATCGTTTTGCAAGACAACGCAAAGTTTCTCAAGAGAATGCACTTTTTTTTGCGAGAAAATGCACATTTTAAGGGGAGCGCATTTGTTTAGCGAGAAAACGGTAGTTTTGCAATACAACACAAAGTTTCTCTGGGCATTGCAATAATTTTGCGATAGAAGGCAAAAACATTGAAATATAATTTTATCTTTGATTATATATATATTTTTTACATCATTCCCCTCAAGGGCTTCACAGCAAAGCACGTAAACTATGATCAAACCGATGTCCTTGCTCCAGTGCTTCCCACATCAATAACGCTGTCAAAACATCAGCGCTGCTCTTAGTTATAAAGACGTTTTGCGCGAGTCGATCGCATGTGTGCACGTTTTATAGAGCTGTGTGTTTATTAAAGGTGTGCGCGTCCCCAGCACACGATTGCATTCATCCATCATCTATACCAAATACAATTTTCCTGTCTCAGCTGCCTAGCTCAGTGGATTGCTATAATTGCCTGTTCTTATCCAAACCCCATTTTTGTTCTATTTATTAGGTTAGTGTGCAGCTCAGAGCCGCTATTAGGAAGCCCAGAGCTCGCTGTAGGCAGTCAACACCATCAGCTCTTTGTACAAGGCTGCAACTTTCTTTTGTGTGTTGGTTATTTTGTGTAAGGGTTATTGATAGTGATCTGCAAAAATATGAATTTGGTAAAAAGGGTTGTGTAATTCAGTCGCATATGGATACATCACAATTACTTGCCCGCAATAATACTTACAGTGTGTGTGAATATATATATATATATATATATATATATATATATATATATATTTTTTTTTTTTTAGGAACAAGACCTAAAGAGTGTATATGAAGAGTTCAGATGCAAAAGCCTCTAAATGCCATTTGAAATTTTCTTCTTTAATGATGCTTTTTATCAAACTTGTATATTTAAGTTCAGTAATGGGCTATATGCACGCATAAATTCCGCATTTGAAGCAAGGATGCTCGTCCATTTCCGGTTGTGGAGATTAAAGCGGAGGAAAACCGAGAAAAACGTGATTATGGCAGAGTCTTCAAAATGTACTGTCCTTCCGTCTTTGAAACGAAACGTACATACGTTTAGATGCAATTTTATATATAGTTATGTTTATTTAATATAATTTTAAAAAGAAGCATAAACACAACGAGGGGTGTCTGTTTTATCTGTTTTTGTGACTAACGTTTCTTTAGTATAAAATTCAATATAAATTCTCGGTATTGCATTGGACTCTACGATCGGCGGAAGTTATCGAGCATCCTTACACCTTCACCGGAAATACCGCCGTGCATAGAGCCCATTTCACTTAAATAACAATTAATAGGTAATTATCATTGCCATTTAATTGAAATTACTGAACTTAAATATACAAGTCTGATAAAAATCGTCATTAAAGAACAAAATTTCAAATGGCATTTAGAGGCTTTTGCATCTGAACTCTTCATATATATATATATACTCATTGTTGGCTTGCATTTATTTTTATAAGCATGTCAATACTTGACCATATAATATTTCAGAGAAAAGGTTGTCAAATGTACGGTGAATACATTTGACAACCTTGCTTTTAAAGATGTTTTTGTTAAGAATCCCAGCCGATCGTTTCGTTTTTATCTTCTTTTTTTATCTGAAGTCATGCAGTGCACGACCAGGTGAGGAAGAAAAGAACTCAAGGTCTTTGTGGACAGACCGTCTGATAGACGAATAAATGTCCTTAATCAAGTTTACGTCCTTGAGCGAGTGAACGAGACTTCCTCCCCGAGGAAAGAGGGTCTCTATTCATAGATCTTTCTGTACCCCCCCCCCCCCCCCCTTCACAACCTGCTCATTCACGATCTGTCCATTCGTCTTCTCTCTCGCCGTCCCTCATGTAGCATGACATTTTTGTCCTCGATCAGGTGAAGAAAAAAGCCAGGGAACAAATTATAATGATTTATAATGTACATAAAAAGGACCCAAAAATGAAACCTGTGATCATTTTCTATGTACAAAATCCAAACAATTTCAGTGCTTGACAGCCCTGGTTCCCATTTACTTTTAGTATATGGAAAAGAACAGCATGAACATTCAGCTAAACATCTCCTTTTGTACTCCGAAGAAAGAAAGTCAAAAGATTTGGGATCACGAAAGGGTGAATAAATGGTGAAAGAATTATAATTTTAGGGTGAGCTATCTCTTTAAAGCCACTGCTGTTCATTTGGCTGGTTCTTTCTCTCGCTCTCTGTTTGAAATAAAGCCGAGTTTTAGCATCAGAGTTAAGGATCATGGTGGGATCGAGTCCAAAGCTCACAGAAGGGCAGAATGATCTCATAACCTCCACAATCCGACGTCTTTCTCCTCAGGGGAGTTTGTAAATCCCATTCATAAAATATAAATTCATGTGCAGTAGAACAGGCCAAGATACCCTCTAAACCCAAAAGCTGCGCACCTGAATGGAATATATTTACTATGATGAACATGCACTTTTTGTACTATCACTATCGAAAGTTTTTAACAGTTATAAGGTCAATTTAATACAGTTTACCATTGCATTATAGAATGAACAAATAAGCATCATTTATGAGTAAAATTAAATGCTGTTTAAATCGTTCATGAAGTGGGATTGAATAGGCCTGGCCTAAAAAATATCACTTTTTGTATTTGTTTTATTATTTAGGTTGAGTTTTTGTGTTTGAACAAAAAATATTTATTTATTTAGCGCTTTGTGAAAATGTTATGTATTATTATTTTTGTGGAGTTAAATTATAATGTATTGAATTTGGTTTAGCCTTTTCCCTTTTATTGTGACTTTTGTCCAAATGTCAGTGGATATATCAGTCTGCCACTTATTTAAAACTAAAATTACCCATTTGATTTATTTTATATATACACACACGCACATGTTTTATTTATGTTTATATATATATATATATATATATATATATATACACACATACATACATGCATACATATATATATATATATATATATATATATATATATATATAATAAAAAGCATTTTTTATTTAATATGCCGTTTTTATTACCAGTATTATTACTCTATAAACAATAGTGCAATTTTTTATTTATTGTTATTTTTATTATTTATTTTATTTATAGGCAGAATTGTGGTAGCATCCATAAATTCGTAAATTACTAATCTAAACTTTTTTGTTGTGCTTTTATAGTTAGTTTATAGTCTTTTTTTGTTCTCAGTTGTGATTGTTATGTGAGAGGAGGCGAGTCTTTATTACTTGAGATGATTACAAGTTGTGTGCTAATTGTTTTCGCAAAGTATTTTAATCAAACTCCTCTGATTAGCTGCAGCTAAGGGAAAGAGATCATAATTGGCTTTAAATTACCCTCCTCACTTCATAATGACAAAAATGAGCTGTTTTTCTTCTAATCATCAAAAAAGGTGTTTGTTGTTTTAGAAACTTGGGAAATGTGAATGTGTTCATATCAAATATATCTATAATTGAATGAATAACTTTTTGCTATTGTTAAGATCTTATTTCTAAATCTCTTTTATTTTTTTCTTTTAACAGGAAAAGATTGATATCGAGCTCAGTCAGGCTTTTGAAAAAGACGAAACGTCCATCAAAATTGAGGACGGTGAGAAAATCTCAGAAAAGCCAGAGAAAACAGATCGACTGTCCAAGAAGACACTCTCTAGAGGTGTGTTTGTGAGTTTGTTTGTGTGTGTGTGTGTGTGTGTCTTTGTTTTTTTGGCAGAGGAGGTGTTTTCTCGCAGGCCAGATGGATGCAACAGAATGTGTGTGATGAATCTCTCTCCATCTCTCTCTCAGATCCCAGTCAGGAATACACAGACTCCACGGGAATAGACCTCCACGAGTTTCTGGTCAACACGCTGAAGAACAACCCCCGGTGTGTGAAAATCCCCCCACCGTCTCATTAACACACCCTCGTCTGAATGTTAATGCTACTGCTACTTCCTGTCGATTCATTTAGTTGTTTTTATGTGCTTATAATTTCTAGAGTAGGCCATTTTACACATCCTACTGACTATAAGGAACTTTGCAACTGCATGTCAACTAGCAGCCATTAGAGTATTAGTTGATATCTGCTAACACTTTGTTCTGATGCTTGCCAACAGACATCATACTGACGTTAACTCATTACGTTAACTCATTCTGCTAACCTAACAGTCTACTAATACTCTAATGAGAGTTAGTTGACATGTAGTTGCGATTTTTTTTTTTTTTATAGTTAGTAGAATGTCTAAAGTGGACTATTGAAATAAAATGGGACATTTGCAGTTTTTTTTGTCATTTTATATTTAATATTTGTGTTTAAATAATATATTTTTAGATATTATGTTTTAATAATAATTTTAAAGGAATAATTCACCCAAAAATTTAATTGTTATTTACTCATGTTGTTCAAAACCCATAAAACTTTAGTTCTTTTCTGTAAAACAAATTAATACATTTATCTGTCCCTCTATTGAAATTCTCTACACCCAAAACTAACAAAAAGTTCATAAAGAGATAAACTAAATCCATATGAATCGAGTGTGTTCAATCCAAGTCTTCTGAAGAGACACAGTCGCTTTATATGATGAACAGATTTAATTTCAGCTTTTATTCACATAAACATTGATCAGCAAACATAAATAGAAGCTCAACTGTACTTGCTTGACGCACAAGAACAAACCTCATTGGTTCTTGCTGAAACACAAACGTGCTGCGTAACACAAGAATGAACCTCATTGGTTCTTGCTGAAGCTCAAACGTGTTGCGTAACACAAGAATGAACCTCATTGGTTCTTTGCTGAAGCTCAAACGTGTTGCGTAACTCAAGAACAAACCTCATTGGTTCTTTCAGAAGCTCAAACGTGCTGCGTAACACAAGAACGAACCTCATTGGTTCTTGCTAAAGCGCAAACGTGTTGCGTAACACAAGAATGAACCTCATTGGTTCTTGAAGAAAGTCAAAACGTGTTGCGTAACACAAGAATGAACCTCATTGGTTCTTTCAGAAGCTCAAACGTGCTGCGTAACACAAGAACGAACCTCATTGGTTCTTGCTGAAGCGCAAACGTGTTGCCTAACACAAGAATGAACCTCATTGGTTCTTTCAGAAGCTCAAACGTGTTGCGTAACACAAGAATGAACCTCATTGGTTCTTGCTGAAGCTCAAACGTGTTGCGTAACACAAGAATGAACCTCATTGGTTCTTTGCTGAAGCTCAAACGTGTTGCGTAACTCAAGAACAAACCTCATTGGTTCTTTCAGAAGCTCAAACGTGTTGCGTAACATAAGAACGAACCTCATTGGTTCTTGCTAAAGCGCAAACGTGTTGCGTAACACAAGAATGAACCTCATTGGTTCTTGAAGAAAGTCAAAACGTGTTGCGTAACACAAGAATGAACCTCATTGGTTCTTTCAGAAGCTCAAACGTGCTGCGTAACACAAGAACGAACCTCATTGGTTCTTGCTAAAGCGCAAACGTGTTGCGTAACACAAGAATGAACCTCATTGGTTCTTTCAGAAGCTCAAACGTGCTGCGTAACACAAGAACGAACCTCATTGGTTCTTGCTAAAGCGCAAACGTGTTGCGTAACATAAGAATGAACCTCATTGGTTCTTGAAGAAAGTCAAAACGTGTTGCGTAACACAAGAATGAACCTCATTGGTTCTTGAAGAAAGTCAAAACGTGTTGCGTAACACAAGAATGAACCTCATTGGTTCTTGAAGAAAGTCAAAACGTGTTGCGTAACACAAGAATGAACCTCATTGGTTCTTGAAGAAAGTCAAAACGTGTTGCGTAACACAAGAATGAACCTCATTGGTTCTTTCAGAAGCTCAAACGTGCTGCGTAAAACAAGAATGAACCTCATTGGTTCTTTCAGAAGCTCAAACGTGTTGCATAACACGAGAATGAACCTCATTGGTTCTTGAAGAAAGTCAAACGTGTTGAATAACACGAGAATGAACCTCATTGGTTCTTAAAGAAAGTCAAACGTGTTGCATAACACGAGAATGAACCTCATTGGTTCTTGAAGAAAGTCAAAACGTGTTGCGTAACACAAGAATGAACCTCATTGGTTCTTTCAGAAGCTCAAACGTGCTGCGTAACACAAGAATGAACCTCATTGGTTCTTGCTGAAGCGCAAACGTGCTGCGTAACACAAGAATGAACCTCATTGGTTCTTTCAGAAGCTCAAACGTGCTGCGTAAAACAAGAATGAACCTCATTGGTTCTTTCAGAAGCTCAAACGTGTTGCATAACACGAGAATGAACCTCATTGGTTCTTGAAGAAAGTCAAAACGTGTTGCGTAACACAAGAATGAACCTCATTGGTTCTTTCAGAAGCTCAAACGTGCTGCGTAAAACAAGAATGAACCTCATTGGTTCTTTCAGAAGCTCAAACGTGCTGCGTAAAACAAGAATGAACCTCATTGGTTCTTGAAGAAAGTCAAATGTGTTGCATAACACGAGAATGAACCTCATTGGTTCTTGAAGAAAGTCAAACGTGTTGCGTAACACGAGAATGAACCTCATTGGTTCTTGAAGAAAGTCAAAACGTGTTGCGTAACACAAGAATGAACCTCATTGGTTCTTTCAGAAGCTCAAACGTGCTGCGTAACACAAGAATGAACCTCATTGGTTCTTGCTGAAGCGCAAACGTGCTGCGTAAAACAAGAATGAACCTCATTGGTTCTTTCAGAAGCTCAAACGTGTTGCATAACACGAGAATGAACCTCATTGGTTCTTGAAGAAAGTCAAACGTGTTGAATAACACGAGAATGAACCTCATTGGTTCTTAAAGAAAGTCAAACGTGTTGCATAACACGAGAATGAACCTCATTGGTTCTTGAAGAAAGTCAAACGTGTTGCGTAACTCAAGAACAAACCTCATTGGTTCTTGCTGAAGCGCAAACGTGCTGCGTAACACAAGAATGAACCTCATTGGTTCTTTCAGAAGCTCAAACGTGCTGCGTAACACAAGAATGAACCTCATTGGTTCTTTCAGAAGCTCAAACGTGTTGCGTAACACAAGAATGAACCTCATTGGTTCTTGCAGAAGCTCAAACGTGTTGCGTAACATAAGAATGAACCTCATTGGTTCTTTCAGAAGCTCAAACGTGTTGCGTAACACGAGAACGAACCTCATTGGTTCTTGAAGAAAGTCAAACGTGTTGCGTAACACAAGAATGAACCTCATTGGTTCTTAAAGAAAGTCAAACGTGTTGCGTAACACAAGAATGAACCTCATTGGTTCTTGCTGAACCTCAAACGTGTTGCGTAACACAAGAATGAACCTCATTGGTTCTTGAAGAAAGTCAAACGTGTTGCGTAACACGAGAACGAACCTCATTGGCTCATGAAGAAAGTCAAACGTGTTGCATAACACGAGAATGAACCTCATTGGTTCTTTCAGAAGCTCAAACGTGTTGCGTAACACGAGAACGAACCTCATTGGCTCATGAAGAAAGTCAAACGTGTTGCATAACACGAGAATGAACCTCATTGGCTCATGAAGAAAGTCAAACGTGTTGCGTAACACAAGAATGAACCTCATTGGTTCTTGCAGAAGCTCAAACGTGTTGCGTAACATAAGAATGAACCTCATTGGTTCTTTCAGAAGCTCAAACGTGTTGCGTAACACGAGAACGAACCTCATTGGCTCATGAAGAAAGTCAAACGTGTTGCATAACACGAGAATGAACCTCATTGGCTCATGAAGAAAGTCAAACGTGTTGCGTAACACAAGAATGAACCTCATTGGTTCTTGCAGAAGCTCAAACGTGTTGCGTAACATAAGAATGAACCTCATTGGTTCTTTCAGAAGCTCAAACGTGTTGCGTAACACGAGAACGAACCTCATTGGTTCTTGAAGAAAGTCAAACGTGTTGCGTAACACAAGAATGAACCTCATTGGTTCTTGAAGAAAGTCAAACGTGTTGCATAACACGAGAATGAACCTCATTGGTTCTTGCTGAACCTCAAACGTGTTGCGTAACACGAGAACGAACCTCATTGGCTCATGAAGAAAGTCAAACGTGTTGCATAACACGAGAATGAACCTCATTGGTTCTTGCTGAACCTCAAACGTGTTGCGTAACACGAGAACGAACCTCATTGGCTCATGAAGAAAGTCAAACGTGTTGCGTAACACAAGAACGAACCTCATTGGTTCTTGCTGAAGCTCAAACGTGTTGCGTAACACAAGAACGAACCTCATTGGCTCTTGAAAAGTCAAACGTGTTGCGTAACACGAGAATGAATCTCATTGGTTCTTGAAGAAAGCCAAACGTGTTGCGTAACACAAGAACGAACCTCATTGGTTCTTACTGAAACAAACGTGTTGCGTAACACAAGAACGAACCTCATTGGCTCTTGAAAAGTCAAACGTGTTGCGTAACACAAGAATGAACCTCATTGGTTCTTGAAGAAAGTCAAACGTGTTGCGTAACACAAGAATGAACCTCATTGGTTCTTGAAGAAAGTCAAACGTGTTGCATAACACGAGAATGAACCTCATTGGTTCTTGCTGAACCTCAAACGTGTTGCGTAACACGAGAACGAACCTCATTGGCTCATGAAGAAAGTCAAACGTGTTGCATAACACGAGAATGAACCTCATTGGTTCTTGCTGAACCTCAAACGTGTTGCGTAACACGAGAACGAACCTCATTGGCTCATGAAGAAAGTCAAACGTGTTGCGTAACACAAGAACGAACCTCATTGGTTCTTGCTGAAGCTCAAACGTGTTGCGTAACACAAGAACGAACCTCATTGGCTCTTGAAAAGTCAAACGTGTTGCGTAACACGAGAATGAATCTCATTGGTTCTTGAAGAAAGCCAAACGTGTTGCGTAACACAAGAACGAACCTCATTGGTTCTTACTGAAACAAACGTGTTGCGTAACACAAGAACGAACCTCATTGGCTCTTGAAAAGTCAAACGTGTTGCGTAACACGAGAATGAATCTCATTGGTTCTTGAAGAAAGCCAAACGTGTTGCGTAACACAAGAACGAACCTCATTGGTTCTCATACTTGAGCTTCCATGACCAAATTTGAATGCATCATGTATGTTTACTAATCATTGTTTATGTGAAAAAAGCCTAAATTAAATCTGTTCATCATTTAAAGCAATCGTGTCACTTCGGAAGACTTGAATTGAACCAATCGATTCTGATGGAACGGCATGAGGGCGAGTAATTGACAGAGTTTTCATTTTTGGGTGAACTGTTACTTATTAAAAAGTATTATTTAGAAAACGACTTTTTCACAAGTATTGCATCTCTTCTTGGTTGTCAGTGTGGATTGATGCGGAGCTTGTAGGCACACATTTGAATACTCTGGCACTTGTGCGTTGATGAGCTGTAATAAATGCTAATGAACGCTGTTCTTACAGGGATAGAATGATGCTGCTGAAACTCGAGCAAGATATTCTGGACTTCATTAGTAACATCGAGTAAGTCGAGCCAACAAACAAACTGAAGACTGATGTGATTTTTCACACACACACACACACACACACACACACACACACACACATAAATGTGTATATATAGCAAATTTCTCTTTTCTTAATTTTTATGCATATCAGTCCGAGGTTGAAATATCAGCCAGGCTGATTATCAAAAATTACATGTATTTTAATATTTGGCCATTTTAAGTACGTTTTCTGTTTTGTTTATTTTCTGAATTTTGAGAATTGTATGTAAAATGTTACAAATAAAATTGAACACATTGTTTACACAACACCGTTTTCAACTAAATTGCATTAATGCACGTAAATATAAAATAGCAGGATTTATAATAAGTATATTTATAATATTAATTTATTGATGAGGTGAATATTTTTCCCCGCACAGAAGTCAGAAGAGGAAGTTCCCCCCGATGACATCATACCACAGGATGCTCCTTCACAGGGTGGCGGCGTATTTTGGGCTGGACCATAATGTCGATCAGACTGGGAAATCAGTAATTATCAACAAAACCAGCAATACTAGAATGTACGTGTGGATTTAATGGTTACTAGCCTCGGTTGTTATAACTATGAAAGTTTTAATGTAATTTTATTTATTTTTTTCCCCTCTCACAGACCAGATCAGAAGTTTTCTGAACACATTAAAGATGATAAAACGGATGATTTCCAAAAGCGGTACATCTTAAAGAGAGATAACTCCAGCTTGGACCAGGAGGATGGCAGGGTAAGAAATATATTCTACTTACAAATAAATAAACTAAGATTGAAATAATCCAACAACCAACCTATGTATGCAATAACTTGGTCAATATGGTATTGAAGATAAAGTGTGGGTGTATGTGTGTGTTTAGCTGCGGATGCGACTTAAGGATGACAGACGGAGTAAATCAATCGAGGAGCGAGAGGAGGAATACCAGCGCGCCAGAGACCGGATCTTCGCCCAAGACGTGCGTCTCCTTTCCAAAATACAACACGGCTTACTATAAACCTATCATTTAGTTTTATTTTTTATAAGTAGTGTTATTTATTACTTAGTATAAACCACAACTTTGTTTTAGAAATTTCTATCATTTTTCATATAATAGTTCATTTAAGCATAATATTGTTTTGTACTTTAGCTGTAATATGAAGGTTCGAAATGTAGTTTGTTCAAATTTTTAATTAATTTAGATAAAGCTAACAAAAAATAAGTATATATATATACGTGTAGCACTTTACAATAAGGTTCTATCTGTTAATGTTAGTTAACTGCGTTAGTTAACATGAACTAACAATGACAAATACTTCTAAAGCATTTATAAATCTTTATAATTTCAACATTTACTGATAAAGTAGTATGTGTTAATATTATTTAATGGATTTGAGCTAACATGAACTACAAATTAACAGTACTTTTAGTAAATAATATTAACAAAGTTTAATAAATAATTAGGGCTGTCAAACGATTAATCGCGATTAATCGCATCCACAAAAATTTTTGTGTTTACATAATATATATGGGTGCACTGTGCATAATTATTTTAAATATATATAAATACACACACATGCGTGTATATTTAAGAAAAAAATATTATTTATATATAAGATATTTATATTTATATATAATATAAATTATATATAAATCTATCTACAGTATACGCATGAAATTATTTCTTAAATATATACAAGCATGTGTGTGTATTTATATATATATATATATATATATATATATATATATATATATATAATAATTATACACAGTGCACCCACATATATTATGTAAACACAAACTTTTATTTTGGATGTGATTAATCGCGAATAATCGTTTGACAGCCCTATAAATAATGTAACAAAAGTGATGCTTATTTTTTGTTTGTGTTTTTGTTTTTTAATGTGCGTCTATTTTTATCTGCAGGGACAAGAACATTTCCCTTTTGATAAAAGGTAAAAAATATTAAACACAGTTACTAGTGAGTCGCATGTGGGAGCTTTTTTATTGCTTTCTTGTTTGTTGTCTTGTATACAGCATGTCATAATTGTAATGCTTAACTTCCCTCTAGAATTCAAGAGGACATGACTTTCATTAACACTCAGCAAAGACGACAGATATTCAGGTAGAGTTTGTTTGTTTGTTAGCTTACTTACGTACCAGTTATGAGACTTTTGAGTAAACGGTAGCCATGTTTGTTTATCGTCGGGCTTTAATCCATGAGTTGTTGTTTGTGTAGATTGAGAGACGGGCGCTCGGGAAACAGTCGTCAGAGCAGCTCTGAGAACGAGCTGAAGTATTCGGATCCTCGGCCCTGGAGCAGCACAGATTCAGACAGCTCCCACAGAAACCTGAAGCCCGCCATGACTAAAGCCAACAGCTTCAGCGGCATCAGCCTTCTGATTCGAGGAGACAGCACGGCCAGCAGCAAGAGCATGGGGAAACTGTCTAAAACCAGTAAATAACGCTCCTTCATTCACTTAACTGTCTAACTGGGGACTTGCTAATACACTTTTGTAGGGATGCACAATATTGAAGGTTTTGTTTTTTTTTGCATCAGCGATGAAATCAAATTAAAGCCTATTTACCTTTTAGTCGTTTGCGAACGATTCATTAAGTTAATCTAAAGGAAAAAATATATATATTTTATCTTTCATCCAAATATACTTGTTCCTGCCTCTGAAACGACTTACCGTGACCGCTGACATCATCAAGGCCTTATTTTTACGCCACTCCCCTTAAATTTTTTTTATCATCATGAAATAATTGTCCCTGCCTCTGAAATGATTTTCTGCATCATCAAGGTCTTGTTTTAAAACCTTCAACTTCCTGTTATATTAAAATTTTCAGCATCCAATGTAATTCTTGATAAATAAAATCAAGCCCTATATATATATATATATTATTTTTTTATATATTTTTATTTATTTATTTTATTTATCCATTTATTTTTATTTTATTTAATAATTTATTTTTATTTTATTTATTTTTTTTATTTTTATTTTTTGCGCTGAATATTGTTGTCACTCTGATCATGATACAGTATTGAATAGATTTTGAAAGCCAGTTCATGTTAATTAAAAAAAAAAAGGCTGGAGCTCCACTTTCGAACGTACAAGTTTGAAAGTCAAATTAGTGAAGTTAAGCTACATTTCTAGCTGAAATCATGGATAACAATTAGTTTTAAAACCTGGCACAGAAAAAGAGATAATTAAGTTTTTGTTATTAATAGTTTTGTGCGAGTAAAAAATAATAATGATGTCAGCTGTTTTTTACATCAGCCTAGTAACAAATGATGCAAAAATTAATAAATGCGGATTGACTATGGTCTCTGATATATAGTGCATCCCTAAATGTACTGTATGTGAAGCCAATATAATTTTTACAAACTACAGTTTATGTTGGAATTACCCTAATTAGGAGACACGAGATTCTCCTCCAATCGGTTCCCTTCCTCAGACTTAGAAATGCTTTGTTGTGGCAACACAATGTTGTGCTTTATAGATAATTGCTACACATAATTCATATTTATATATTCTTTTGAACAAATAAAGTGCCATTAACTGAAACACAATGGCATATCAAAAATAAATCATGTAGTTTTGTTTTTGACAGCGGTCAAATAGGACTTCCGAAATCCAAAAATGTACAGTAATTCCAACATGAACCTTTTTAGAAGTTGACCTTTTTACTGTAGTTAAAGATTTTTTCTACTTTGTCTTGTTCAAATACTACATGTACTGACCGTGTGTATTTTCACTTTCACTATCCCAGTCCTGCTTTCCTATGCTCAGCGTTTTGTTCTTTTGAAGACCATTTTTTGTTTCATTATTTCGTATTCATGCTTTAAGCAGCCATGCATTGAGTGTATGTGTGTGTGTGGTGAATCTCTCTGCCCTCTTTTTTCACCTATTTCATGTCCATCGAGGAACAGCTAAGGGAACACATTCATATTCAGAGCCGTCTGCTCTCTGGATTCATTGGTTATTTATGCTCTGGCATTTAGAAGCTCAAGGAGTCGACGCCAATATATATTTATCACTTTTAATATTTAATGGCACTGCTCTTCCGTTCAGCAAGTGCTGGATCTCTCCTCGTGGCCAGTTACGTTTGAACAGCCCTCTGAATGATCGCACATTCTGTTGCTGTTATACCTATCAGTGGTTTCATCCAGATATAAGCACATCAGATTAGAAGTTTTTTTTTTACATATATATATTTTTTTTAAAAAAGTATTTTTTTTAATTATTCACTATCAAATCTAAATTGATTTGATATTGTTTTGTTTTTTAATTACTATTAAAAATCACTTATGTGGTTTGCAGACAGATTCATATTTTAACAATTTTATTTTTTAATTGAATCATATTATTTTATATCAGATTCAGTCTGAAAAAAAAATATTTCGTATGAGACTATTCTGAATAAATATGTTTTTTATAGGGCTGTCAAACGATTAATCGCGATTAATCGCATCCAATAAAAGTTTGTGTTTACATAATACATGTGGGTGCACTGTTTATAATTATTTTATATATATAAAAACACACACATGCATGTATATTTGTAAGAATAAAATATTATTTAAATGGAAAATATTTCTATTTATATATAATATAAATTATATGAAAATATTTCTTAAATATATACAAGCATGTGTGTGTAATTTTATATATATATATATATATATATATAAAATAATTATACACATTGCACCCACATATATTATGTAAACAAACTTTTATTTTGGATGCGATTAATCACTTGACGGTCCTAGTTTTTTAAAAAGTAGCCGTACTAATAATAATGAATAACAATTTATTAAAGCTGCAGTCTGTAACTTTTGGGTTAAAAATGATCCAAAATAATTTTTTGAGAATGCATAATCAGCCAGTGTTCAAACTCTCTGCTTGCCATAGCTCGATTCAAAGCGGTAAGCTTGTAATCATGTTTTTAATTCCAGTGGTACTGGTGGATTTCCGTGATATAAGCAATCGTTAGATTTAATCTGCGTGATTTACTGCAATGCTTTTTTCCCTTAGTTGGTCAGAACAAAAGTGGATGTTTCTTACTAGTTCAGTTGACCTTTTCTGGTGTGTCATTTATACTTATTTATGTTGGTCAAAATTATTATGTTGGTCATAGATACTGACAGCTCTCCTCAAAACATTGTGTTCATCCACGCTTTGGCATGCCGAAGCACAACCCATGTAAAGTTAATAATTCAGCGAATAACTGTGATTGCAGATTTCGAACAAATATTGCGACAAAGAGGAAAAACTACGGACTGCTGCTTTAACAAAAAATATTATTTTATCAAAGAAGAATCAAATGAATTAATAATAAAACAAATTAATTAAATAATTCGGATTATTGACTCTAAATCTAGACGAACCATCATTTGTCATAATTTTTATTTGGACCACTTCCTCTTTATGACATAATTTCTTTAGCCCCGCCCATCAACCCCTCTTCATTCATTTCCTCATCTCCCACCCGACAGTAAAAACTCTTTCGCTCTTCACCCTCCTTCAGGTTCAGACTCCTCTAGTAGCGTAGGTTCCTCTTCCGGGTCGCTCTCTCGGCCTGCTCATCTGCCGTTACCCGCCCCCGTTGTTCCTCATCCCGGTCGGGGCTTCACCCCAGCGGCCCCTCCTCCGGCCGCGCCCATCGGGGGCAGCGCAACCGTCCCGGTCTCTCAGAGCGCAACTACTAACTCTAACATTAATACTAACGCTAGCTTCTACATTGTTCCTCTGGACACTACCGCCATCCCACCGGGCAGCGTTCTGCTCAATCCACAGACAGGTTGGTACTTCCTGAATCCTGACCAACATTGACTTCAAACGATGGAGGTTACGCTGCGTATTCGACATACTAACTTTCCTTACTAATTCAGTGTTGCATGAATGAAGAAAAAATTTGCTAGTGTTTTTGTAACTGTTTGTTTGTGTTTTGTCCCGTAAAGGTCAGCCTTTTGTTAACCCCGATGGCAGCCCGGTGATCTACAACCCTGCCATGACATCACAGCAGGGGCGGGGCCAGCAACCCATGTCTCTCCCGCCTCCTCCTCCTCCGCCTCTTCCTCCTCCCCCTCAACCTCAGCCAGCCAATCACCTTCTAGCACAGGTCAGGAAAACATATATTTACTTTGTTTTATATTTTAATATTAATTTTTTTTATTATTATTTTATATATTAATTTAGTTCAATTAATTTATTTTAATTTATCCCGTTTTGTTTAATAATATTTTTTGTATTTAAAGTATGTATTTTTTTTATTTTTAGTAATTATTTTCTTACTTTTATTGGTAAGTTATTTTCTTTTTAATAATATTTTTTTATTTTTTATATTTAATTGAATTGATTCATTTAATTTACATTTTTTTAATTATTGTAGTTTTTCATAATATTTAAATATATACAATTAAATAAATGTGTTATATTCATCATCATATTGGTTATTGGCCATAGTGTGAACTCTCTCTTTGAACTGTATCAGGCAAAATTATTCTTTTATTAATTTTTTTTAACATGTTTTAGTTTTAGTTGCTTATTATTTTATAATTTCTTCTTTCATTTAATTGTATGCTATCAAAAATGTATACATTTTATCATATTGGTTATGGTAGCTCATAGCTCAAAAATAACATGTGTATATATAAGAAATAAAATATGGTTTGTTAATAGGTAATTTAACTTTTTTTTCCACTGATATAATCTACGTTCATCACTTATGGTGCTAACGAAATTGCATTGTAATTTTGTCTTTTATCGATTGATATTTCTTTATAATCAGAACGTTAACGTATTAGTTTAATGTTATTGTTCTATGACGTGACTTCCATTCTCATTCATTCGGTCCTTCCTTTTTCCTTCTCTTTCTCTTTGTCGCTGTGGCCTGATCCGCTCGTTCATCCTCTCTCTCTCTCTCTCGGTGTCTCTGCAGTCGTCTGCTCAGCCTGTGCAGTTTGCTGCGGTCTCTTGTCCTCCTCTCCTGCCCGCTGCTTTCACTCAACAATACACTGTGGTACTTCTCTCTTCCTTCACTATGCCTCTCCTTCTCTTAACTTCACTTTTCTCTTCCCTCGATTTATTAAAGAGGCCATATCTTGGAAAGCATGGAAAGAATTTGTCGGTTCATTTGAATAAGTTCAATATACGATGCACTAAAATTCGCAACTTTTAAAATGTCAAACTTCATTTTATGTTTTATATTTTATTTATTAATTTATATATTTTGAGATTTTTCTGGTTGATTACAAATGTTCAGTATACAATACATACCCTAAAATTCACAATTCTTGAACTTTTAAAATGTTGTTTTATTATAGTTATAATTATAATTTATTAATTATATTTAAGTTTAGTTTTTTTACTTTTTTTTTTAAAAAATATTTCAATATACAAGACATTCATGCCCTAATATTCACAACTCTTAAACTTTTAAAATCCATTTAAATTGATCTATTTATTTTATTAGATTTTTCTTGTTCATTTGAAATAAGTTCAATATACGATGCACTAAAATTTTTAAAATGTCAAAAACTTTTTTATATTTGATTTTAAATTTTTCTGCTTAATTTTGAAAGTTCAATGTACAATACATACCCTAAAATACATACCCTAACTTTTAAAATGTTTTTTTTTATTTAATGATAATTGTATTATATATATTTACATATTTTAAAATATATAGAATATATTTTAGTTTTTCGACTTTTTTATATATATATTTCAATATACGGGGCATTCATTCCCTAATACTCACAACTTTAACTTTTAAAATGTTTTGTATTAATTTAATGTTTTTATTAATGCTTTAATAATTTTTAGTTTAGTTTTATATTGTATATCATTTTTAGATTTTTTTTATATAAGTTCGATACAAATCTGAACAGTATCCATTTAAATTGATTTATTTAATTAGATTTTCTTGTTCATTTGAAATGAATATACGATACATACACGCCCTAATATTCACATTATTTGAATGCTTTTTTTTTTGTGATCAACATTTTTATTGTTTTCTTGGGGGGGTGGGGGTGGGGGGGGGAGGGGGGGGGGGTTACAGACATCTCCAGTATCATATGTGACTATATAATGAGAAAGGAAAAAAGAATAAGAAAAAGAAAACATCAAAACATCACAATGGTAGTGAATGGATGAGTGAGACAATACATATAATAAGACAATACATAAAACAACAGAAATATGTTTGGCAGGTACAGTTCACATCAAAGATTGCCTAGCTGTTGTCCCTGGACCAAGAAATAATCCTAGATGAGAAAGAGTTCCAAGCTTGTACAGTCGCTGGTTGCGCCTTATTGAGTCGTGCAGTTGTATGTTCAAGATTGACAATGTTGACAAGGCTATGGATCCAGAATGATTCCATACACATATCCGGAAAGAACCAGTTTTTCAAAATTGTTTTCTTTGCAGAGGTAAACCCTGCAAACAACATTTTTAACTGAATTTGCTTTAGATTTATATCAGAATTATCATTAAGAAGACAGAAACCAGGATTCGGAACATAGAAAATGTCAAGTATATCCGCTAAAGATGAATTTACATGTAACCAGAAGTTAGAAATAACTGGACACTCCCAAAACATGTGTAAAAACGTTCCAGGTGAAGCAGTGTTACATATGTGACAGTTGTGAGTAGGTTGTAATTTCATCTGGAATCTCCTATAAGGTGTAATGTAGGCTCTATGTATTGTTTTGAAGTGTATTAGTTGGTGCGCTAGGTTCTTAGAAGTTAGACTTAGGTTATACCATATTCTTTCCCAATCTAGGTTTACATTTAAACTCCCCAACTCCCTGTTCCATATGGATTCAATTGGTAAAGTTTTGGCCCTATGCTGAATCAGTGCACTATATATTAAAGAGACAGAAGGTCTGCCCAGTAATGGTGCAATCCATTGTAACATGGGATGTGAGGGGAGAGGAGAATTCCAGGGAACTCCATACGTTTTTAATGCTGATCTTAGCTGAAGATAAACAAAATAAGAGGACGCAGGAAGATAAAAGCGTGTTCTTAAATCTTGAATGGAGCAGAGACCTTGAGTATCATATATATCACCTAAAGTATTCACCCCACGGGATGACCAGGATGGCTGATTAAATGGTTTGTTGCCACATAATAGTCTCTGGTTATGCCATAGTGGCGTATTCCGACAGAATTTAGGTGGGCCGCCCATCCACCGTTCTGCTTTCTTCCACACTTGTATAGAGTTAGCAATAATGGGCCCAAAACTCTCTTTTACTGTTTTGTTTGTTACACTAGAGAATAGGATATCTTGCAGTTTGTGTGGTAATATTTTAGCAGATTCAATCAATCTCCATGCAGTGGTAGACTGTGGGTCTAGCCATTTGCTGAGTGCCCTGATCTGAAATGACCAATAATAAAGTTCAACGTTTGGTACCGCTAGACCACCCAGCAGTTTGGGCCGTTGCAATGTATTCAAACGAACCCTGGGCCGTCTACCATCCCAAATAAAACTGGAAATCATAGAGTGAATGTCTTTAAAGTAACTTGGAGGGGGGCCAAGTGGTAACATAAAGAAAAGAAAATTAAAACGGGGCAATATGTTCATTTTAACTGTATTAATTCTACCTTGAAGAGACGTTTTTAGATTCCTCCACCTATGAATATCTGACTTTATTTTGCTTAACATAGTGTTGAAGTTGTCTCTGGTAATTTTATGTATGTTTTTATATATTGTAATGCCCAGATATGTGAAAGAACTTTTGATGTGAATATAGTTAGGGATAGGAACACTTGTGTGTATATTATTTAGAGGCATAAGTGCAGATTTTGTCCAATTAATTTTGTAGCCTGACAGACTGCTAAATTTATCAAATTCTTTAATAACTGGGTGAATAGAGGTGTCAAAGTTGTCTAAGAACAAAATTATATCATCCGCGTACAGAGATATAATATGATTATGGCGACCAATTTCCATAGGGGAGGCTGTAGATTGTCTGATGGCTTGTGCTAGAGGTTCCAGAGAGAGACAAAATAAAAGTGGCGAGAGTGGACACCCCTGTCTTGTACCACGTTGCAGGGTAAAAGGAGAGGAGATTATGTCACCTGTTAGAACACTTGCTAAAGGTGAGTGGTATAGCGCCTTGATCATTGATATGAAATTGTGCCTGAAACCGAAACGTTGTAGAACTGCCCACATATATTTCCACTCTATCCTATCGAACGCTTTCTCTGCGTCCAGTGAAAACACAGCACAAGGATTTGGGTGCGTCTCTGCCACCTCTATAATGTGTAGCAGCCTTCTCATGTTATCAGATGCATAGCGTCCCTTGATAAAGCCTGTTTGGTCTTCTTTAACTAGAGATTGAATAACTTTTTCCAGGCGCAGAGCGAGTACTTTGGCATATATCTTCAGATCACTTGTAAGTAAAGATATTGGTCTAAAGCTCGAACACTCAAAGGGATCTTTTCCCTTTTTCAAGAGCAGGGTCATAAGTGCTGTTTTTTGGTCTCTATGGAAGGTCCCATTTTGGATTGCAAAATTGAACGAATCCAGCATGAGTGTGCCCACCATGTCCCATATCTCTAAATAAAGCTCTGGAGGGAGGCCATCCAAACCAGGCGATTTGCCTTTGTTGAGACATTTCGCAGCTTTATGAAGTTCATCCAGCTCTAATACAGCTTCCAGATCATCTTGATCAGTTTGCTTGAGGCAGGGAAGCTCTAGTTGGTCAAGAAAATGTTTGCTGGTAGCATCGTCATAAGAAACCTCTGATTTGTATAGGTTTTCATAAAATGTTAAGAATGTATTATTGATGGCCTGCGGATTGGTAGTAATTTTGCCCCTAGGCGTATTTATTGCTGGGATGTGAGCTTTTGTTTCACATTCTTTAAGCATAAGAGCAAGTAGATGACTAGGCCTCTCTGCATCAAAATAGTACTTTTGTCTGGTTCTATGCAAGATAAATTCTGCCTTTGATACGGCCAGTGTCTTGTATTCATCCTTCAAAGATGCTAGCAATTTAGACTGATCATCTGAGAAGTTATGTTTTTGCAAATTCTCTAATGATTCTATTTTGTTTTCAAGATTTGTGATCTGGGAAGCTTTTGTTTTAGCTAAAGTTGAGGAGAATGAGATAC